TTTTGGCAGAATTTCGAATGGGGCACCCGTAGGTTTCTGCCATGCCCCGGGGGTGGGGGATGGCAGCACTTGCTCTCCGGTCACCGCGACTTGTCCGGAGAAAAATGCCGCCCGGTGGCCGAGGATCGAACCGCGACCGGCTGCGTCGCAGCGGAAGAGTCAGACCACTCGGTCACCTCGTCCCCCATTTTTTTCAATATTTATAAATTGTACTTGGCTGTTCTAAGAATTAATTGGTGTGAACATATAAAAATGTATTTAATTAATAATTATTTTTTGATATTAAAAATCTTTTTCAGCAAACTTCAAAATTAATTTTTAAATCTTTTTTAGTTGCATTTTCCTGGTTAAATGCTTTTTTTTGTAGCATTATTGGCAATTTTTTAATTCCTTTATTGTAGGTTTTTAGTGCTTCATTTTCCTAGCCCTAGGCCTTATTACCATGAACGGAATTTTGATTGCACTGTCATCTTCAACATCAAATACCACATAATAATATATTTATTATGAGATATTGAAATTTTACTTTGTTTCCATCGCTTATTTCTACGCGGCGGTCGCCCACTTAATAATAAATGGTATATCGACATATCGCCATATCGGTGACTTTCAAAAGGCTATAATACGAAAACTGTCTGAGAGACAAATTTGGATTGCATCATCGTTCTTAACCCATTGATTTATATAAGTAGGTAGGTAAGTCAACAAATTTCAAAATGGCGAGGCCGAACTAAACTGCTTTTATATATATTTTTTTATGATAATATTAATTTGTTGGAGGTTGGAGCTAAGTGTTAAACTATGAGTAAACTAGTAACTTAAAAACGTTATCTATCTTCAGTGATAGATTAATAACAAACAGAAGAATGTGTGGATTTGTATAACGGCATCATTATCAACTGTCAAAAGTTCATAAATTGCATTTTGTATTCAATATTCCATTATTTCAACAACAAAAAACGAACATCTCAATTATAATGAAATTATTATTTTATTAATACTTAAATGCTAAGGATGATAATAATCTATTATACTAACGATATTATTTATTTTTGTTTTGAAAATTATCTTGTGCAAATGTGCAATGTTAATCCATAAGCATTTTGTTATATTAAAGAGTGTTTTTGACTATAATAGTTGATTAAAATCTCATATTTAATTATTATTACCAAGCTATGTCGTACTCATTTACAATAAGTACCTATTCAATCGAATATTACCCTTATTTCCGTTAAGTAGAATAATTCAGAAACTTTTCGTTCAATTTCGACTGCATTTACAATAGACAAAAACTTTTAGAAAAATCATCTGAATCTCAATTTACCTCATAACATGTAGGTTCTCACTTAAAACAAATCTCAAAAACCAAAGTTGGTATCTTCGCAGATTCGTCATAAACATTTAACATCAATGTATTTACGAATTTGACAGACATGTGAATATTTAGTAAAGTGACCTCCTGACTACTGGTAGAAAAATTGAAATTCCATAACCTATGAAACAGCTATATCTATAAGAGTTTAATTTTAAACATGTTGTATATTTTGTTAAAAAAAAACAAATATTTTGTGAATACTGATAGACTGAATGTACCATGGTTTATTTTTGGTCATAACATTTTAAAATATTTAAAATTAGCTTATATTCTCGTATAACACATTAACACTAGTATATAATAGTATTGTACCATTGGTACCTAATTATCATTTTTTTGGCCTTTGCACATGACGAAAAAAGTTTGTTTTGTCACGGCGCGATGGTAACGTCTAAGGTCTAACTCGTAACGATCATCGTACATTCGACATCGCGTGCGGTGATCACGACTCCGCCATTCCGGGATCCGTGCGTCGCCCAGTCGTTCACCCCAAAATAATAAATAATAATAGACTTCGTTTATAGATCGACGGCCCTTTGATAATATTATTATAATATTTCAATAAATTATTATTTATTTTTATACTGTTCGAAACTGTTCAATATACTATTTTGGGGACGTGCGTGTCCGTCAGTCATCGCTGTGCCAATACAATCTAAAGTATTCTGAACGTTAACGGTTAACCACACTGTACAAGTGTTACAATAATAGTAATCACTGGTCGTCGTTATCAGTTCAAACTTCGATTGCTCTTATCCGAGAAATAAATAAAAAATTAAATACACATTTCAAATTAAATTTATCAATTCATCATCCCCTGTAGGTTTGTTAACAATACATTTAAACTAGTTTCGGTCCAGATCGACTTTGAAACTCGACGTCGACAGGATTCGCCACTTGGAGGATACTTATAGTTTCACAACTTTGAACTTATAAACAACTTATATAAAAAACGCTACTGCGATGTCGGACGCTCACGCCACTCCGATGGCCTGGCAGTACGTTTGTTGTTCACTGCCAATCTTAATACCGATGTCAGTTTACGTGCTTAAGAAGTGTTTCAACAACAGATATCGCACACTCAACTCAAAGGTAAATCAAAACGTGTTTTCTATCGGTCTTACACACCGGCGAATGCAAATCTCGAAACTGTGACCTTTATACGACCCAAGTTTTTCGCTTTATTCGTCGTGGACTTTGAACACGGGTGTAGGTTTTTTTTTCAATTTCCCGGCTATTTGATCTGATTGATTTTTGAACAATGTAATACATTTTTTTTACTTTAATTATACTTAATGAAGAAACGTTTAAAGCCGTATGCTGGTATTTCTAATAAGCATTGAACTGTGCAAGATAAAAATGTGAAACAGAAATAGAGTGTACTATAAATAATATAATTTAATGACTTGGAAGTATTCTGCTTTATTTAAGTACTTATTCAATTGTTGGTATAGTAGAATATTATTTATTCGGATTTTACTTAATCCAGACAGCCGTTTATAATGCATATTATTAGAACTATTTGAATTATCAGAATAACTAGTTATTTTGTATTTTTTAGGGCTTAATACTGTGTTGCATTATGTCTTGTATTCCAAAAAATAACATTTGTATTTCTTAAATCTATAATGCAAGTTTTTTCACTTAACAGAGTGTTTAATTATATACCTTAGGTACCTTAGTTCATTTCATATATTATTTTGTTTAATCTGGACGTACTTTAATTCAGACAACCTAGTGTCCTAACAAGTCCTAAATAATAAGGTTCTGCTGTATTTTACACTAGAAATGTATAGATTTATAGAATTATACCATATCATATCATTTTTCCTTTTTATTTTTTGAGTTAAAGTGAATTATTTTTAGTACCTCCTACTCATATGATAATCATTAAACCATAATATAAATTAAACTAGTTTATTAAATTGAATTCATTTTTACTTGTTTTCCTTAACACTAATCGTTTTCAGAAATGTATTTTAATAATCATAAATTATGTTGCTAGGTTGTTCTTATTACAGGTGCCAGTTCTGGATTAGGTGAAACATTAGCGCATGAGTTTTATTCCCATGGCTGTGCACTAATTTTAACGGGACGTAGCAGCAACGAATTGGAAAGAGTCAAAAATGATTTATTAAGCCGAAGTGATGTAATTTTATTTTATTTTTTTAACATTTCCTATTTTCTAGTTTATTAATTCTTATAGATTAAGAATGTTAACAAACCATGTATTCTCGTCTTGGATCTTATTGACCAATCAACAATAGAAGTAGTTAGTCAAAAAGTTTTAGGAGTTTTTGGCCGTGTAGATATTCTCATCAACAATGCTGGCATCAGCTATAGAGGTAGAGCCGAAGCAACAATGGCCGAAGTAGATTATAAAGTAATGTTAGTCAACTATTTTGGCCAAGTCGCTTTAACTAAAGGTAAATACAAAAATATCAAGTGACTAGTCGAGAGTATTTCATTTAATAACTGTTGTTTATATTTTGTTTTAGCCATATTACCTAGCATGATTCACCACAAAAGTGGACATATAATAGCAATTAGTAGTGTTCAAGGAAAAATTGCTGTTCCATTTAGGTAATATAGTACAATACATTTGTAATCTCTGTTATTATTACCTTAGTTTACAATGACCAAATGATATTTATTATTTATTGTATTGTGTAATATTACTGTATTACTAGGCCTTAGCCCATTATATATAAATGAAATAATATTATTTAAAATTACAATATACTGATTCCTAGCCTTTTGAATTGAGCAATCCATAAATTATAAAAAGATATATGTTAACTTTATTGCACTAATATTGTTTTTTACAATATTATAATATATAATATATATCCATATATTTTGTAGTAATTCAGATTTATTTACTTAAATTTAGATACTTTGATTTACATTATTCATATATTCAGTAAAAAATATTCATTGATACATTCAACTTGCAAATTTTAAATTTATTGAGAAAGTTGTGTGTTTAAAATTTCTGAAAAAAAGTACTAAATTACCTTTCTGACTGTTTATTAAAAATCTTCTTAAACTTATTTTTGCTATTCTCTTATTTCTAAGAAATGCAGATAGCAGACCTTGGTTGTGCTGTAAACAGCTTATCTCTTTATTTTTTTTGGTATGCAGATGTTTAATTAATTTTATGTATTTATATAATTTATAGATCAGCTTATACCGCATCTAAACATGCATTACAAGCATTTTTTGATACTCTCAGAGCTGAAATATCACATCATAAGGTAAAAGTAACCGTGGTAAGCCCGGGGTACATCCAAACAAATTTGTCGTTGAATGCATTAACTGGATCTGGATCAAAATATGGTGGTGGGTATTGTTATTAGATATTAATTTTTAATTAAAAATAATATTTATAGACTAACATTAAATATATATGTTGTAGTTATGGATGAATCTACAATGTCTGGATACTCAGCTGAATATGTTGCTCAACGAATAGTGGATGCTGTAGTTAATGATGAACAAGAGGTCATCATTGCACCATTTTATGCTCGTTTAGCAATTGGCCTACGTTATGTATGGCCACGATTTTATTTTTGGATTATGAAATGTAGGGCTGACCGACAAGCTAGTCAGAAAATGTAGGATTCAAGGATTCCCCGCCATCAGACGGACGAGCGTCGGCTACAGCCCGTTATCGTCGGCATACGGGAATCTCACATTTGACAAACAGCCAGGTCAGTCAACTAGATTTCTAGAAATTAGCTGTTAATTGTTATTTTTTGAGTACTTATAATTTTGTATTTTTGAATATAAATACCTAGTTGTTAGTGATGCACAGTTTTACATAAATTATTTATTTAATTTGTGTATTTTACATTTTATACAATGTTTACTTATTAACAACATAATGCCATTATGATATTATTTAGATAAGTATAATTGTACAGAACTGCCCTAAAAGAAACAAATTAATACTAAACTTTGTAAATGATTTAGTTTGATCAATATTAATGTAACAACTAACATGTATTTCATAAATACTTACATAAATCTAATTCTACTTTGAATTACCAGAAAATAAAATAGTTGTTATTATTTAAAAAAGTCAAGCTTGAAGTAATAATTAATGAAACTAAAATTATTTTATTTTCCATGCTATTGCATGTGATTATGTATGTGTTTCATAATAATTTATCTTTAAAAGGAAAACTAAATAACTAAATATTACAAATGAATGTCAATTTTCATTAATTTAAAAATCGTAAGTCCACATTCGAAAAAAAACTCACAAAGTTATTTTCTATTTAATAAAAATTCACAGTTTAATTAATTTATATTGCACTATTAAATGTAAAATTGTAACTAATTGAAGTAAAATTTATTTAAATTCCCTATTATATTTCTTTATCGCCTTTTAAATCAAATTATTTTAATTAATTTTTAATATTTAAATAAATGTGTACCCATTTTTCTATCAAAATCATTGTTCATATAATTATAATTCATAAAAACGCATTTTTATATAATTTACCAGTCAATAATTTCTATATTAATATATTAGTATAAGACTTCATATTAATATTGGTTATTGTTTAAAATATTTTGTTTTTGCATTTTAATATCTTGCACTGGGAGTTGTGAAGTACTTTTATTCAATATTATATACAATTAATAAATTTATTATTCCATTGCTAATAATTGAAAATATTGAAAATAATTTTTTAAATAATAAATTATTAGATACTATGTGTGATTCACAAATTAACTGTTTAAGCTTAAAAAATTATTGATAAAAATGAGCTTTTAATTTTAAATTAAGATAGGGTTAAAACACCATTGGTCTTTTAAATATTAACTGTGCATCACTAACAAAGATAGAAAATTGTTAACTCACAGTCAGTGGTGACATAAAATAATTTTTCATGAAGTATCGGCTGTGTTGATAAAAAAAAAGTTCTGATAATTGAGTATGGGGGAAGAGAACAATATTTCAGTTGGTAGGTAGGTCAGGTTAGCCACTTCTATCAAATTAAGAGGATGTCTCATTTACATGTTTTGACTCCATCTAATAAGTGCGTAACATAGAACATTTCTGTTTAGTAGTTCATTTAACTTTGTTAGTTTCAATGTTACAGTGAATTTACCCATTGTTAGACATAAAAGTGTCAATATTTTCTGCGGTTTGGTGAAAGTGTATTTTTAATATTTTAATTTTGAAGCAAGTAATGAAAAACATTTTTAAATTGCAATATTTTACACATTTGTAACTCACTGAAAAAAAAAAAAAAATTTTGAACAACCATGTTGTTACCTTTAAGCCTCAAGTTAAATAGGTAGCATTTAATTTCACCCTTAATACTAAAACTAACAAAGCTTAACAATAATGTGCTGCTATACACTCGTAAGACAGAGAAAACACATGCTGGTGAAATATCTTCTTAAGTTAGTAAAAAATGTACATACATTTGTATTGCAGACCAAAAATAGATGATTTGGTACCCTCAATCAAAAAATTTAAAATTAAATAAGCTTCATAGATAAATAAAGTTCATGTCGCCACTGCTTATGATCACTGCTACCATTAGTGTAGTATGAATTTTTTAATATTATATTATTATTGTATATCCCTTAAACACTATTACATCTTAGGTTTACATAAATTTAAATTTTAAATATTGTTTTAGGTTTAGAGTTTATTAATTACCACCATTTTTTTTCACACAAAATTTATTGCAAAAAATAAGTTTAATTATATTATAATTTAAATGATCTCCCTTTTTTTCATAAAACTAATTTTTTTATTGTTGATACATTTTTGTTGCTTAAAATGGTGCTTGTTTGTTACACATTTTGTGTTCTTTTTTATTACATTTTTGACAATATTTATATAAACTTTTACCACGTTTTGTTTTTTATATAATCAATCACTAATAATTTACATATAAATTTGAATGACAACAGCGTATCGACAATTACATTTTAGAAATCTCATATATATATTATAAGTAGTTCTTCTGATTTCTGTCAATTATTTATGTATACTTAATAGTGAGTTGTTGATATAGTTAAACCTTATGTACTGTTAAATATTTTTAGTTATTTATAGAATAACGTTTCATTAGTCAGTTAATATTAGATTGTAAATTTAAATGATTAAGAAACTATACCTTTGTAGATGATAAATTGATAACTCAATGTGTGCATATATTTACGAGGATAAATTTAGATGTTTATTGTTGTTTTTTTTTTTATTAAGTATTTGTAGCGTTTAAAAATGTAGATATGTTATAATGGTAAACAAATGATTAAAACCTACAAAGAAAACTAGTGTACATTCCCATATGTAATTGTTACGCTTAACATATCTTATGAAATAGACCCTAAGAATTTAATTCTTGTTTAGTTTTAATGTTTTTAAAAATACTAATTGACAAACAACTTTCAGATAGAATAAAACAAATTATATATGTGTATAAATGTAGGTTCTTTAATTATGTTTTACTATTGTCCATGTTGCTTATTTTGAAAATATCGAGCACATATACATGTAACTTTAAATCGTCCATTGTTCTTAATATCAAACATTCGTTGTTATAGAAAAAGTTTATGTTTTAACGAAAGCTACACAAACACTAAATTTAATTAAATATAGAATGCAATTTATTATGATATTCAATTTTTAATATTGTTTTTGTTTTCTAAACATTATAATCTTACAACAATAAATCACATACAATATTTTATGTAGATTGTAAAATGTTAAGAAATTAATTTTGTGATATTTTTTCAGTCTATTCATAAATGGTTAAATGTCTGTAACAAAAAAAAAATGCAGACAATGGAATTCGTAATTTTGATCAATTATAGTTATACAATATGTAGCAATATAATATTGTAAATCTACTTCCACAAGGCAGTAATATTTTAGTATCTAGTATGTTACATTCATAAAATACAACCTAATTTCAATAGATTTTTAAAAATATTATGTTCCGTTTAAACTTTGGCATGCTACGTTCACCCTAAACCATAGAACGATTATAGGTAGTTTTTAGATATTAGTTGAATCTTTAGAACAACCTTGTATTAGATGGAAATTGAGATTTATTTGTTGCCTTTAAAATGAAACCTAGTTTTCTCTTACAAAATATTAATAAAAAATATTCTGCAATCGAATAAAATCATTTTTGCCTTTCTAAGTTTCTAACTATTACAGATTTAATAATTCATGTTTTTTTTTTTCAAAAAAAAAGAACAATAAATAGCTTTTAAACAACAAAAAAATATAATATTACTATCGCATTAATTAACAATAAAAATAAATAAATTATCAGTTTATCACGGATATAAAACATTACTGTTTTGTTTTTATTTTAATGGCAAAATTTAGCATGATCTAATATTGTTAGTAATTGTTGAAGTATAGACAATATTTAACATGACCAAATCTGTGTGCTAAATCATTTTACACCTATTTAGATGCCTGAGATATATCCGTTCACTCGTCCATAAACATCAAGTGTATAAAGAAGTCATTTCCACAAATATAAAGATTTTAACTATTAAACTTATTATATATAATAATAAATTTTAATTATGAAAAATAATGTTGAGTTTAAAAATTATTTTATAACTAATAAACAATTTTATGATTTATATAGTAAATGAATGAAATTGATAATAAGAATTCTAAAAATATAACTTGGCTCAATAATTAAAATTTAGGTCAGTTTAAATACTAGGAAAATAGAAAATATACTTTGACAATTGTCACTATTATTATTTTATATAAAATGAATAATAAGACTTAATAATTGTCATTACATCATTTCTTTAACCTAATAGTAATTGTATTAATTTGAAAATTTAACTTTCTAAAAGATGGAAATAGGTATTTTAACTTTTTTTATAAAATGACATTTTAAGTTCTTTATTATGTTCCCGCAAAGTAAATCCAATAATTTGTCCAATGAACAATGGCTTTGCATTGAATATTCATTAAAAGATGAAATTTATATAGAAAGTATGATTAACATGCTTATATACTCTACACCTGAGAAGAAAATCTCATAGTCACTGGCGTGACAATATCAAGTACATACAATCATAAGTTGGTAGGTAAATTAAATAAAATCAAGTGTACATATATAAAATATAATTTTAAAATGTGCTGACTGTTCTTGAACCATCACGTTCCCATTAAAATTTGATCTTGATTTGAAAGATTATTTGCAATATTCGTACAACTTCCAAATACAATACGCAGTTGACACAACTGTTACTGATGTGTGTACAATTTTCCTTTTGGTATCGCTGCCACGTTCTATAACCACTGGCAATGATGGAGTGTTGTCTTCTTTTTGGAGTGATTTCAATCTTGGGTCCTTGTGTACCTGATACTTGCAGCATGGATCAAACTGCCACGAGATCATATACAGTCCAGTGCACACAAATGAAGCCATACACAAAGGGCCATATACAAATGGCTTAGAAGTCCAAAAATAAGCTAATTGAATAAAATAAAACAAAGAATTAACAATTTATTAAATTGATATTAAACAATATGTATATTGACCATGTTACAATAGTCCTAGATATTATATGTATATTTATCAAGTACCGAATAAAATAACCTGTAACAATTTGTATTTATTTTTTTGACATTGATGATTATTGATTACAAATAAAACCTTACAACATCTAAATTTGATAATTTATTCTTTAAACCTATGTTATATACTTATGTGCAATTTTATAAATATTATTAACATCAACAATTGAACTTTTAATTAATTAATCCCACATAATGTTGATCAATAAGTTTTAATTAAGATACCACAAATTAATTTCTTATGAACTATTGTTTCTTATTTCTCCATTTTAAAATATAAAATTATCATTTCAATGTTATTTTTAGGATTAAATGAATTTATAGTAGACAATTATTTAAATAATTGATTTATTTTAGGAAACTAATACTAAATGTATATAATTTCAAATTTCCAAACCTGTTCCTGCAGCCATAGCACTAGATATGATAGCCGTTTGAGAAAGAAAATTGCCAACAGTAATCCATCTCACAGTTTCATCAGCCAACTGAGTTGGCTCGATAATAATATACTTGTAGCCAGCCTCTAGGGCATTGTCCAGTTCCTGCTCAAACATTTCTTGCGAGTTATCATTGTCGTACACTTCTCTTATTATGGCAGTATCTTCTTGATTTATTATTCTAGACACAAAACAAATACATCCAATCAATTTTTAATTATCATAATAACA